TGCATAAGTTTTTTGTTAACCCTCTGTACGGGGGGTGATTTTCACTTTATACAACATATACAGGACTAAATTCTTCCTAGTTAGTGTAAAGTTAATGGGAAAGAATAGAATTTGGCTCACAGTCTGCCAAATGCTTTGATATCCATTGGGATAAAAAGTGCCTAGAAATATAAACAGCAGGGAGTTGATTTTTTTTTCTTTTTTTGTCATTACATCAGGTACATGCTGATGGAGAGAAGGTGGATGATTCCGTACCAGGAAAACTTTTATAATGACCTAGAACTGACCTAAGCAGTATAAGGAATCTAGAGAGACAAATAGAGGAAGGAAAAGATCAGAAATTCAGGGCTGGTTTGAAGTTCAGGTGATGAAAAGTGCTATGCTGGAATTCAAAGACAGGATTATTGGCCAGTGGTACTTTAGTATTTGGTGGAGAAGAGCTTAGGGCCATGGTATTACTGCAGTGCTGATTTATCAACACAGCCAACACTGTGTATGGTATTTGAGTCATTTCTAAATCCAGCCTTTGGCAATGAAAAGCACATTTAATCCACCTGTTAGATTGTTTGAAGAGGTGTCTGTCTCTCGGTCTATCCCCGAGGTTGGGACTGCTGAAATTGAAAATAGGTGAGAAAGGAGTTTTTAACCATTTCCCAAATGCTGCTCCCTTCCTGGGGTCATGTCTAAAGCATCACCTTTAACTGTGTGGAAACTGAAAAATGAAACTAGCTCTGCCCCTCCCACCCAAAAGAATCCCTGAGATAATTCCACTAAGGGGAAGAAATCAAAGAATGGATTTGTATTCAAACAGAGTTTATGGGTTTTAACTGGTTTTACTCAAGCTGTGATTAATGCTCTATACTTAAGAGTTCTGAGATGTATTTCTATTGCTGGCTGTGACCCTTACACAACAGTTCAGTGCCTCAAGATAAAATGCTGAAAAACAGCCCATATTAAAGCAATTTTTCTTTGGTCTCAGTTATTTTCTTTAGTTTCTCTGTCATTCTCTATTACTAATAAAACTTTGCATGAAAAACAGGATACTTGATTTTGTAGTTCACCCAAAGGTTAACCCATTCCTCCATTTAAAATCCTAAATCCTCCATTTGTATCATAATCATTACTATCACAAGCAATTGTTTGGTGTCACAGGTTGAAGGCTGTGGAACTCCCAATGCCAGAATAGTTGAGGATGCCTACAGGTCACATTTTATCAACAGAGTTATGTCAGGAACTGGAATAGTTCAGGCAGTTGTGACAGACAACTGAGGTGCATTTGCTGATCTGTGCAAGGACCCATGACTAACTTAACAAATAGTGTCAAACGTTAACATTAAGATACATCAGTAAGTGGAGTGATAGGGTTGAAGTTTTGTTGTGACAGTCCAGGAAACACCCAAGAGGCAAGGATTTTTTTGTTACCTTTTATTGGACCAACTGTATAGTTGGGAGAGCTGTTAGACAAGCTTTCAGTCATCAGTGGGGTGGGAGAAAAGACAAACAGGACTGGAAAGCTGGGAAGCTGCAAGCTGCAATTGAAGCACATTGAATTGCACCACTTTACAGTTTTATTAATACTAAGGTAAATTCACAAAACTCTGCAGTCTAGAATAGCATGACTGCTTTAGGTCAGGATTGAGCTAAATTTGTAGAGTTGTATGGGAGGTCCCAGGACTTAAATAACACATATCTCTGTAAGACAGGAGCATGTTGAGCTGGCAGAGCTGTGTGCAGACTGCCAACAACCTTGTTTCAGTTCGGCCTGGCTAATGTTCAGTCACATGAATACAGATCCACTTAAAATAAGCAGCAAAAACAAAAGTGCTGAAAGAATCCAGAAGAAAGTGTGTGAAAAACCTTTTATATTTGGGAATGAGAAAATAATTCTCAGAATCAATCTCCAGTGGCTCATCAGTTTGAAAAACTTAACATTTTGCTTGCCTAATTCTGAGTCTTGTTTGGTGCCAGCACTTTTTGCTTTTTGATCTGTCTCAATCCTGGTATGACAGTCAACTTGAGAAATAATGTTCTGTGTAGACAAGCTGTTGGTGAGGTTTCTCTCTAGCATCCTCTGGATAAGAGTTCTTCAGCTAGGGCAAGTTAGAGATCTTCCTGGTTTGGAGAATGGATGTTTTGGGAGGGAGGGTAGATAGGATATATGAATCCTTTGACTTCTAGGTCACTGCGTCCGTCCAGCCAGGTTAGTTAAGATTAAAAATTATTCCTATGTGAGAGCTGTTGGGTGACTATGAATTTAACTACAAAAAGCATGTCAGGGCTTATCTGCATTATGGAGTTGCTGCCACCATAGCTGTGCAGGCAGAGCTATGATAGCAGAGCCCCATTGTAGACACAACGTATGGGAGCAGAAGAGATTTTTCTGTTGCCTTTGCTGCACCACCTCTCCGAATGGCAGAAGTGAATCTGGCAGAATATCTCCTCTGATGGCACAGCTGCCTCCAAAAGGGAAGTTTTGCCAACTGAACCTCCTTTGTATTGCTGACCAGACCTCAGACTGGTTCCTAGAAGGACATTTACCTACATCACAAAAAACACCAGTACAATGGGGGATGGTTAGGAAGGCCAAGGCAGAGATGGAACAGGGGCTGGCTTCCCAGATTAAGGACAACAAGAAGTCCTTTTTTAAGTACATAGGGAGAAGAAAGAAGGCCCCAGGAAATGTGGGGCCCTTGCAGGACAAGACGGGGAATCTGGTTGTCACGCCAGACGACAAAGCCAACATATTTAATAACTTCTTTGCCTCTGTCTTCCTCAGTAAGGACCAGAACTGCCACCTCCCTGCTGGGCCCCCTTTGGGCCCC